ATGTTGTTCTGCAAATAAATCAGTCAAGCAATAAATAAATAAATAAAATAATGCCAGTATATACATTGCACAAACCAAATGCAGGAACTTATCACTTTGCTTTCAGTGCTTCCAAGGATAATACACAGTTTCTATTTCTAGGCTGTCATCAAAGCAGGAGGTTGTATTCAGGCATTTAGTACTCAAATTACTACTACTGAGTACAAATGTTGAGTTTGAGAAAAGCAGAGGAGAAAGAGAGAAATAAAGACATAATTTTTTATGCATGTTTAAAACATCAGTATTTTAAAGGTTTGTTGATTGTACCATAAGATGCTTTTCCATAGTTGGCATATGAGGAGCTGTTTTGAGTGAATTTTCATTCATGTCATTTTCTTTATTTCGTTTTTTAAATTTGAATCGTGGAAAACCTCTTAATGAGCAAACCTGCTGTCACTGAAAGAAAATATGAAACACTGCCACCACCTGCAGGTAAAGGTTGCCATTTCACTCTGTCCCAGGTTTAAGAATGACAGCCACTGTAGTACTGACAGTACTTTAAATCAGCGGGCCACGGACCGGTGCTGGGCTGTGAGTCATTTGTCACCAGGCTGCGAGAGTTGAGTGAAATTTATGGTTTTCGGGGTTTTAATCGTTAACTCGGTTTCCCTGGGTCTTTTCCCGTGTTGTAGTTGTGTGTCTTATTTTGAAATAAATGTTTCCGCATTACCATAGCAACCAGAGGGCATTAAGGGGCAGAGAGGAGGATGTTACTCTCAATGTTGTTTTCAGGAGGACGCTGCTAATAAAATTACACAATTACACAATTTGCGTTTATTATTATATTTACAAAATACCACAGTTTTTGTCTCGGTCCTATCATTTTATTCTGTTGTATTTATCTGCGACACCTTAAAGGCCGGTCTGTGAATATATTGTTTGACATTAAACCGGTCCGTGGAACAAAAAAGGTTGGGGACCGGTGCTTTAAAACATAAGTACATATGTATGTAATAAATAATAATAATAATAATAATAATAATAATAATAATAATAATAATAATAATAATATTAGATAATGACATTAGACTGATTTTTTATTTAGAGTGGGTGTAAAATGGGTTTTGTTGCAGTTTTCAAACTGTAAATTGTAAATTTTAACTGTTATTGATCCTTTTATCTTTGTCTTAAAGTGTATATTTATTTCTCTTCTTATATTTATTGTTTGTCTTTTGCACTGAGTGGAACCGGAGCCTCGCCTCGTCTCTCTATATCCTGTACTGTATATAGTAGAGATGACAATAAAGTTTACTTACTAGCACTAGAAGCAATAGAATCTTACATTTGTCACTGCAGTCCCCAGAATTCATTCAAATTGAATCAAATCATTTTCCTCTTGCCAGTATTCAGGTTACTTCTGTGTTTTTCAGAGTCCCACGGGTGTTTTTTTAGATGATTTGTTTGCTCTTGTACTTTCCTGTAAGTTATTCTTTGAACTGCTCTATATTCAGTTAAGCCATTATGTCGTTCCTTTTCGTTTCAGGAGTCTTAATAAACTCTCTTCCAAGACAAAACAGCCAACAAAACACTCAATATTGTTTTGTCTGTTGTCAACAGCAGCTTTTGTTTGTTTGCTTTTTTACCCACTCAGGCAGCTGGCGTAAAAAACTTAAGGAAGCTGATTTTTTTGTTTCTGTCATCAAGTCTAATAAAGCCTGTGCCACTTAACTCCACTGTTCATGTCTTTATTCAGTCCAAACTTTTCTTTGGTCGCATCGAGGCTGAAATTGGTTTTCACGATGGTTCAGTGTTTCTTACTTTACGAGAAATTTTTGGTTACTATAGCAAGTTGAAAAATTATTTTTGTTAAATGATACTATAATGTTTCCAGTGAGTTGTTTTTTTTTTCAGGAGCAGCTTGTATATGGATTATTCAAAAGTTACAACCTACCAAGAAGAAAATAATATCTCTTAATTGGCATTTCCATCTTTAGAGACTGTTGATGGCCAGTTAAGGGTTATGGATAAGTTTAGGCACATTTTCAGAAACAACAGCACCAAAGGTTTGAAATTAAAAAGTAAAACAATCAGGGATTTAGGCCTTCACGTTCATTGTAACATGATAAATGTTACAGATAACTATTTTCCAAATCTCAACACAGTTTCTATGAAAGAAGTAACACTCATTGTCTTAGCACTTACCATCAGGCTGAAGGCTGTAGAGATCACTCCTGCTGAGTGACATGTCAAACAGTGGGTTACTCTGAGTGTATGTGACCTCATTCCTTGTCCTGTTCATTGCCGTCTCCATTCTTCCTGAAGCCCCGAATCAGCTTCACTTCCTACTTGGGAGCCTCTTTTAACATATGCAGTAGGTAAAAGATGACACTTCTTCCCCAGATTGCAACAGAAGCTCTGTACCAAAGAGCTCACATGAGAACCGACTGAAAGAGAGGAAGTAAAAGTATCTGATTTGTTGCTGAGTTGACTAAAATATTGCAGCTGACATTTATTTAGTGTTACCGCTAAACCAAAATGAGGAAGCTGGTTAGGTCTTACAAAACCATAACGGAAGTTACAATTTTCTTGTCCAAGTTCTTTTACCACTTTTACTCTTTTACAATGCAAAAAAGCTCGGAAAGTTATGAAAATATTGGTTTGCAATAACGTACATACCCTACAGCAACAAGGTCTTAATACCCAGCCAATCACATAAAGTTTTATTTTGTCCTCTGGCTTTGAGTTCCTGTGTACAATGTTTACATTACCCTGAGTAATTTACCCACTCAGACTCTACACGATGTACAGTTCATACATGAAATACAAAAATTTGAAAAGTTGTGATAAATAGAACAAAATAATATTTGCAAATATATTAATGTGTGTGTGTTTGTGTGTTTACAAAGATCTGTCTGTCAGTCTCTTTCTGCCTTCTCATCTTACTCTTGAACAAGATCCCATGAAACTTAGACTTCTCCTGGAGCAGCCAATCATCCCACAGTAGGCACTTGTGGCAGAGGTGTGGTCCCTGGCTCAGCTGCAGGGGAGAGATGGTGCAGTGAGTTTGAGGGGGCGGTGCCAGCTGAGGCCACAGGTCGTGATGATCTGTGAAGTGAAGCCAGAGACCGGAGCGAGAGGAGTGTGTGTGCTGAGACCCGTCTGCAACGTTGGTGAATCGGGTGTTGAACAGAGAGACACTGCATGTGTGAAACCACAATAAACACTTCCAAACGTGAACACAACAACAGTGTGTTGGGTCCGTCTGTAGAAGTTTTGGGGATATCTTTGTTATGACCATTGCTGGAGTTGTTACTCAAAAAGGTCATTATTACTCTTATTACACAGAACACTTTTCTTAAAAGTATTGCAGTACGTTACTTAATTACTACTCATTACATTGCTTTCATGTTACTCTGTAAAATAGCTGAAACACTCTGTCTCATAATTGCTATTTAACAAAATAAATTTGGGGCTACAACTGGCACACCAACACAAAACCCTGATGAGGACACACATTTCTAAGATCTTTCTCTTAGTAGAATACAAAGCTAACCGCACAAAGCAAAGATGAAAACCAGCACAAAAAAGCGATCACCACAGTGATCCTGCTTTAGAAACATGAACAGGTAAGAAGGGAGCCTGACTGCTCATCTGCTTGTTACCTGTTGAAATTAAGGGTTTGGCTGCTCACTCAGCTTTCACACTGGGCTCTTGGCTAGCTTAGCGTTAGCATGCTGTCTTGGCAGATGCTTGCAAAGAAGTTATGTTAGTGGCATAATGCGGTTGCCTCTGTCCCAGCTGCAGTTTTCCGCTTGTGTTTTTGTTACACAAAACGACGAGATAAATGGTGATGTCTGGACTGCATAGCTATTCCCTGTAAACAGAAAACAAACTGAAATCAGCTGATTGTAGGGCTAGTGTATAAATGGATAAGCAGGATTGATAGGCAAGCAGACTAAGAATTCCAAGACTGCTGGGAACTGGTTTTCTACAAGGAACAGTTTTTGATTCCCTAGCGATACTGAGTGATAGCAACATCAGGAAGAAATATACCAAGGGCTGAAAGAAGAACTCGAGAAGATGTGGCGGGTAAAGACAACAGCAGTTCTCGTGGTAATTGGAGCATTCAAGGGTTATAGGGTTAGGAGGGCCAGTACGTTACTGCAGACCCAAACACAGAGACAGCTGAATGAATTTCTCACTAGCTTTATTTAAAACTATAAACAAAGGTTTAAACACAAGAAGGGATTTGTGATGTGGCGATCTAATGTGTAGTGAGAGCAACAGCTTTAAACATGCAGAGGGACTCGTGCCGTGATGACCTTAGCGTGCTGTGAACTGTGAACAGAGGAGAGGGTAATTACCATACCATAGGGTATTTATATAGCACTTTAAAAACAACACATGGCCGACCAAAGTGCTGTACAGCAGAAATATAAAAAAAAATACATTTATAATAAATACAATAAATAATAATTAGCAGGTACATGAAAAGCAGCCAGGAAGGAATGGAGGTTAAGGGGTTGGCTTACTTGGCAGGTTGAGCTGTTAAAGCTTGGAGGACAAGGTGAAGGTCCGGGTGGTGTGGACAGGAAAGTGCAGTGATGATGGGCTGACCTGAGTTGCAGGAGGGCAGGCAGGTGTGTGGTGAAGAGATCTTTCCAGAGAGACAGACTGCGGAGTGATGGTGGAGTGAATCCAGTTAGTGATGACCAGCATCCAAGAGAAGGACGAGCAGATCAGTGACACGATGAGGAAACTATAGCACAAAGAGGAGGTAAGTACTCCATCTTGGTCATGGAACATGGAAAAGAGAAAAACTGTTACCAACATGGGTAATTTGGTGAATTGTCCCAGAAGAGACAGCTCATAAATACCCTCCCGCAGATTGCCAGGGATTAGTCTCAGGTGAGTCGAGAATAGTTCAGACAATGATGACTCTACCAGGGGTGGACACGGGAAAACATGGCCGCCTGGGGTGCTCCTCAGCCCCTTTCCAGGTGGGTGGCGGGATTGCCCCAGCAGTGGCCCTCCTTGAGCTCTCATGCTCTGGGGGGCCTCTGGATGTCTGAGGCCAGGATCTCCTTCATGTCCTGGGAGGGCAGAGCTATGGCTCACCACTATTAGACGCTTACAAGGAGAAACTTTATGAATACAAGTCCGCCCACACACACAGGTGTACACACGAGCGTTCACACAGGTGTAAAAACAGGTACTCACAGACACACACTTTCTTGGTTGGCTGCTGCCTCTAAACATATCCTTAGTCGTGTATGCTGCTCAGTAACCTTCAATATCTATTATTTATTGTTTCTTAAGCTTATCAATCAATCAATCAATCAATCTTTATTTATAAAGCACTTTTCATACAGAAATGTAGCACATGGCTAAAAGCAGCCCACCCCACCCTCCAACTCACTCCCCACACTCTCATTAAATACATCATGATATCCCCCCACCCCCGCACACACACACACACACACACACACTTAAAGAGTAAAATTGGGCTGGGCACACATGAGCCAGGTGAGGAAACACTATCACAGGGAGCCGTCTGCACCGGGAGCCGGTCACAGACCGCAGCCTCCAGGCTGGGCACACAGCAGGAGGGAGGCAAAGGAGCCCCCAGCCAGGCTGAGAGGACCCACAGAGCCCCAGCAGCCACGGTCGATCACAGCCCCGGTGCAGAGAGCCCCCTCCGAGGAAACACTGGAGATATGACCAATAAGGATATATACAGGATAAAAAGATAAAATAAATAAGAATGGGATACAATATAAATATAAATAGAGTAAGAAGATAAAAAATGAATAAGAATAAAATCAATAAATATTAGGTAAAGCCTAAATTAATAATAGAATAACAGGATAGAATAAATAAGCATAAAATAAATAAACGTTAAGTAAAAGCTAAATTAAAAAGGTGGGTCTTGAGCCTGTTCTTAAAAACATGTACGTTCTCTGCGGCCCTGAGCTCCTCCGGCAGGCTGTTCCACAGACGAGGACCATACCACTGAAAAGCTGCCTCTCCGTGAGTATGTGTCCTGACTTTAGGGACAATCAAAAGGCCAGTACCAGAGGACCTCAGGGTCCGCGAGGGTTCGTATGGTAAAAGCAGATCTGAGAGATAAGAAGGCCCAAGACCATTAAGACATTTAAAAACCAATAAAAGAACTTTAAAATCGATCCTGAAACACACGGGGAGCCAATGCAGCGATTCTAAAACCGGTGTAATGTGGGCCCGCCCTCTGGTCTTCGTCAGCACACGAGCTGCCGAGTTTTGCAAGAGTTGTAAAGTTGAAATATTCTTCTTAGGAAGACCAGAGAGCAGGGCATTACAGTAATCAATGCGACTGGTAATAAAAGCATGCATCAGCATCTCCGTGTTGGCCCGAGAGAGAATAGGGCGGACTCTGGCTATATTTTTTAGATGATAAAATCCAATTTTGGTTACATGTTTAACATGTGGGATAAAACCAAGCTCAGAGTCAAAAATAACACCCAGGTTTTTCACTTGTAGCGAAGGACATAGTGAAAATGCCTCTAATTTAGACAAGAGTTTCTCTCTCTGAGCCTCAGGACCGACGATTAAAACTTCAGTTTTGTCCTGGTTAAGCTGTAAAAAGTTTTCTGCCATCCAAGATCTTATATCCAAGATACAGTTAAAAAGGGCATCCATTGGTCTGGTGTCATCAGGAGACACGGAGATGTACAGCTGCGTGTCATCAGCGTAACTGTGGAAGTTCACTCCATGCCTCCTGATGACACCGCCGAGAGGCAACATATACAAATTAAAAAGTACAGGGCCTAGAACCGACCCTTGAGGCACACCACATGTCATTTTATGGATCTTAGAGGAGCATGTATCCATACTCACCATAAAAGATCTGTCAGAGAGATAGGAAGTGAACCAGTGTGTACAGCACCAGAGAGGCCCACCATGTGTTTCAGTCTGTTTAAAAGAATAGCGTGGTCTACTGTATCAAAGGCTGCGCTTAGATCCAGTAGCACCAGGACTGAGAGCTTTTGGGCGTCCCAGTTACATCTAAGATCATTTAAAACCTTTAGGAGAGCAGTCTCTGTGCTGTGGTTCACCCTAAATCCAGACTGGAATATCTCCAGGATCTGTCTATCATTCAGAAAATCATTAATCTGAGTAAAAACAAGTTTTTCTAAACTTTTACTTAAAAATGGTAAGTTGGATACAGGTCTGTAGTTATTAAAATCATTACAATCCAAATTGCTCTTCATCAGAAGGGGCCTCTCTAGTGTCTTATTTGGTTTTTGCTTGGTTCTTTTCGGCAGGTGATCAGGCAGATTTTCACTGTCTTTTCTCTTTCTATCCCTCTTCTCCTCTATTTTATTTCTTTAACTCTCCTTCTGTTAACTCTCTTTCCAACTTCTCTTTTCTCCTTCTTTCTCTTTCCTGTCCCCTGGTCCTGTCTGTTGTGATTGCAATAACTTAAAATATATAATATATATAATAATAACAAAGATAAACTATGACAGTCAAGTGGACCAGCATACAAAAAGGCATAATGGTTTACATGGGAAAATAAACCTGTTGGGCATTTTTCTTGGCCTTCAGACAATAATTCTGATTGCTACAGTGATGGAGGGCAAAATAAAATGTTTGGACACACCTTCTCATTTAATAGTTTTTCTTTATTTTTACTACTTTCTACATCGTAAATGCAAACTGACGATATCAAATATATGAAGCAAGATATATTTAATTATGTAGCAAAGAAAAAAAGATAAATAACTCTAAATATGTTTTATATTTCAGATTCCTGAGATTAGCCGCCCTTTGCTATGTTGATAGCGCTGCAAACCCTCGGCCTTCTCTCAGTGAGCTTCATGATGAAATGGTTGAAATGGTTTCACCTCACAGGTGAGCCTGTCAGGGTTCATGGTGGGGTTTGTTGCCTTCTTAATGACGTTGGGACCATCAGTTGTGCTGTGCAGCAGTCAGGTTGGTGCACAGCTGACAGGCCTGTTTGACAACTGTTAGGATTCATGTTACGGCGAAAACCAATCAGCTGAGTAAAGAGAAACAACAGCCCATCATTGCTTTAAGAACTGAAGGTCAGTCAGTCGGAAAACTGCTAAAACTTTGAATGTGTCCCCAAGTGCAGTCGCAAAAACCATCAAGACCACAATGAAACTGTCTGACATGAGGACGCCCCAGGAAAGGAAGACCAGGAGTCCCTCTGCTGCTGAGGATAAATACATCTGAGTCACCAGCCTCAGAAGTCACATTTTAACAGCAGCTCAGATCAGAGTCCAGATACGGGATGGACATTAGACCAGTGGAAATCTGTGCTTTGGTCTGATGAGTCCACATTTGAGATCTTTGGTCCCACCTGTTCTGTGTGACGCAGACACATTTGAATATTTGTCCAAAATTGAAGGCACACTGAACCAGCATTGCTACCACAGCATCCTCCAGCAACATGTCATCCCATCTGGTTTTTAGTTGAACCATTATTTCTTTTTCAACAGGACATTGACCCCAAACACATGTGCTTGGGGTCACCTGAGGTTCACCTCCAGGCTGTGTCAGGGCTATTTGACCAAGAAGGAGAGTGATGGAGTGCTGCGCCAAATGGCCTGGCCTCCACAGTTTGGGATGAGATGGACCACAGAGTGAAGGCAAAAGGTCAGACAAGTGCTCAGCATCTCTGAGAACTTCGCAATTTCTTCAGGTGACTACCTCATGAAGCTCATCGAGAGAATGCTAAGTATGTGCAAATAGGTAAGCAAATAGTGTTTTTAGATTTTTAAAAAATCTAAAACGTGTTTTGAGTTATTTTACACTTTTTACTTTACCACGTAATGTCATACGTGTTCATTCAGTGAGAATCTACAATGTAAATAGTCATAAAAATAAAATAAAAACCCCATTAAATGAAAATGTGCATCCAAACTTTTCACTGGTAGTGTACACACACACACACACACACACACACACACACACTCACAGTCTCCTCTTGCCCTGTGATTATTTGTCATGTAAACAGGAGGAGATCAAACCATTAACCTTCCAGTTGTTAGATGACATACTGCCTGAGCTACAGCCATCCCAGTGTACGCACTACAATAAAGAGACATAAAGATTTTAAAACATCAAGTACAGACAGTGGCTGCAGTGGATATTTTCCTTGTTTTTAACACTGGGTTTCACTTAAACACTTTTTTGTTTTCACGTTTACCTGGAGCTGGCTGATGGACCAGTAACAGCATGAGCATCCACAGCCCACAGACACCACATATTGTTGAAACGACCCTATCTGACAGCAGACTATTAGCAGGTATACCAACTGTCTATAACTGCCCACAGTGTTCCTACCAGCTAACACCCCTGAACTAGAATTTAGTATAAGATGTCAGGAGATGTACACACCGAGAAACGGGACAAAATAGCTATTAAAAAGGAACGGCAGTGGTTCGAGAGACCTGCTGTACCCATCACCAACCACTAGGTGTCGCCCTGACATAATTCTTTTCCTCAGGCGTGGACTGCTGAAATGTTTCTGCTTTAAAGATAGAGACTTATTTCAGTAGTAACATTAAAATCATTTAAAAAAAACAGTGAAAGTGTGTGTGTGTGTGTGTGTGTGTGTGTGTGTGTGTGTGTGTGTGTGTGTGTGTGTGTGTGTGTGTGTCACGCTGTAAATTAAGAATTCCTCTTGGCATTACTGCTAAATGTTTCCCCCAACAAATTTCAATAAAAATGTCATTCTCCTTTGTTTCTAACTGCTACAGTGTTTTTAGATCGTTTGCCATGAAATTAAAGGTAAATTATAATTTTAAAAAGACAGCTCCCTGAGGTTTCCTATACACGTGATTTTATTATTATTACTATTGGTGTTGTGGTTGTTAATAACAATAATAATAAGAACAATAATAACAGCCGAACATCGTACTTTTTTAATGTCCTGAGGTCTGACCGCCTGCTCCACTGTCCCGCTGTACAGGTTCAGAGACACCGGTGGGTGATCCGTGATACTTCCTTAGCGGATTATATAAAAACGGGTTTTCGCTTTTTGTAGTTTTAATCTTTCTTTTGATTTTCTTTTGTTTGAATAGCAGCTCTAAGCAGATTATTGTGAAGCTAAAATCATGTACAAGTATATGTTTAATCAGGTGCAGCACAGATATCATTATTACCAGTTTATCAAATTAAACGCATTTCTTTTTTAGTCGATTAAAAAAAAAATAGAACTCAAAAATGAAAACACAGAAGTTCGGATTTTTTTCTTTCTTTTTAGCCAAACTGTATTTTTGTTACAGTTAGCAGATTATGTCATAGCTACGTCAACGAATACAATCTAAACATGCGTCTGTTCTTTTTGTGTTCGTATAGATTCATTCGTTTTCATGTCCGTTCAACTCCGGGGGTTCTTGCGTTATTGCGTTTTATGAGCCTGTCTCTTTCTGCAGTGTCACAATCATATTACTAAACCTTAAACTTGAGGATAAGGGAATTATTAGGAATCACAGGTTCTGTGAGGAAAACAAGCAGCTCTAAATCATAACGCTTACTGACTGACGGAGATGAAAGTCAGAGATAAAGCAAATGATCGCAGCAGTAATGTTACTGTGAATGTTCAATGTAAAACATTTTCAATAATCAATATATAAAAATACGACTCATCATAGCTTGTTATAATAAGGCTTATTATAACAACCAAACTATTATAATGATTCATAAACATTTTATAGTCGACGACATAGAGTCGAGTGATGCGCTGTATTAGTTATTATCGGTATATTTAATGACACGACTGCTATGAAGTTTACTCCTTATCCTACTAAAGAAACGAAAAAAGGCAATAAGTAGTCAAGTTAAAGGAGACACAGGGTCTGGTTTGTAATCACACTATCAGTGTTTTTATGTTGATAAAACCACAGCCTATTGGAGAATTGCTGCAGGAAGACTAAAGCCAATTAGGGCATCTTAGAATGTAAAACATTACAGATCATTATTGTTATTATTAGTATTATTATTACTTCGTGTAAGACATATAATCAGGCTTCATTTAATATGAATTATACCAATTAAGTTGTCCCTTCACACAACCTCTCAGTATTCCGCTGCACAGCAGCTTTTCTATTAACATCTTGGCAGGCGGCGTGCCTGTCTATTATGCGCATTTCTGGTATTCTATCGGCCCACTTTGCGCACACTTTGATGAAGTGTTTGGCAAGGCGACGTTGACGGAGACTTTGAACGGCTTTTCTCTTGCAGCCAGGTGATGAACGTCCGGCTCATCAGGCGGAATAAAAAATAATTAAAACCTATAAATTATCCCTCGGCAGCTCCTCTCTCTCAGAAAGAGATAAGAGCGCGCTATTTCAGCGAAAACAACACGCGCTGACAATGGCCAGAAAGAAGGGGAAACAGCAGGTGTGTGTGTGTGTGTGTGTGTGTGTGTGTGTGTGTGTGTGTGTGTGTGTGTGTGTTTTGATAGGTGGTGGTATCTAACCTGCAGCTGTGAGCAGTTAGATATCACCATTCAGAGCGAACGGGCGCATATGAAGATGTAGAAGGCGTGCGCTTTGGTTTGGATAAAACATGCTTGTAAGTGGGGAAGCAAACCCCCAAATGTCATCCTATCTATTTACGCTACGGCCCAATTAAAAGCATTTCTGTGTGCAGTCGTGGCTCACGGTTTAACTGGGTCTGAGGCCCGCCTGTGTCTGTACAGTTCAAAGTAAAGTAGAGGTGCGCAGATGGATTTCGTACAAAAACCAGCAGTAAACAGCCGGTATTCTTCCGTTCATCAGCTGTATGTAACAGTACACCGTAACGAGACTGAAGGCGAGGAGCAGCGATAATCTCTTGTTTGGTTTCTCTGTGAAGCCTGCTCCCTGCGCCACAGCTCTCCACTTGGCTCAGAGACTCATGACATTATTGGACGTCGTCACACTCTGTTCCAAAGTGTCCCGGTCGGTGATTGGCCCGATACGTTTCATGCGCCTCTAGTTGTGTGTGTGTGTGTGTGTGTGTGTGTGTGTGTGTGTGTGTGTGTGTGGGGCGCGTGCGCGCGCGCGCGCGCGAGTGTGTGTGTGCGTGTGTGTGTGTGTGTGGACTTTGTGAAGAGTGTCACACAGCCGTGAAAAGCTCTGGGTGTGTGGGAGTAGTGTGCAACAGCGACCACAGTCAGTCTTATAGTAAATCAACGACCATGACCCTCTGGAGCGCCTTTGCGCAGGGAGGATGCCCACAGTTTCCGAATAATGACAACAACCAGCACCATTCCGGTGAGAAAATAACTATGTTTTAGTGCTTTCCGTAGTCATAATTTGGATACAAAATAAACTCACGCAGTGGAAGTGGATTAAGAGAACAGAAACCAGGTTCTTCAGAGAAGCACCGATGGAGGAGCAGCGGGATCTTAACAGCTCGGATAGCAGCGAGGGGGAGAGCGTTTCCCCGTCTCCCAGCCTGCCCTCCCCGCCTATATTGCCTCTACAGGTCGCCCAACAGGCCCACAGAACCACCAACTTTTTCATTGACAACATTTTGAGACCGGACTTTGGCTGCAAGAAGGAGCACGGCCTTGGCCTGCGGGAGAGGGCGCAGACATCCGGTCGGGAGCGCGTCCACCCGGCGATCAGCAGGCCGAGCCTTCCAGGGACGCCGTGCCAGGACTCCAACTGCAGTACTGACAGTAGTTCGTCCTCTGCCTCCTCCGCTTCTTTGGCAAGTCCCAAAAAAAGCAACGTTACCGGCGGAGGAGCCGCAGCCGCTCCCTCTACCGGTAACGGCCAAGGCGTAAAAGCAGAGGGGAGAACTGGCACTGGGGCCGGGGAAAATACCTCGTCTTCGCTGGTGGTGCTGAACGGCACCGCGGCGCCCACACCGGAGACGCAGCCACTGCTCTGGCCTGCCTGGGTTTACTGCACCCGATACTCGGACAGGCCCTCATCTGGTAAGGCAGTAGATTCGTGAAGAAATGCAACTGTGACCGTGCATAACTGAGGATTATTTCCACCCTAAACTCACTTAACATTTTATTCATCAAGACTTTTTTTAAACGTTAATATTCAACAGTTTCCATGCAACAAACGAAGAACAATTTTTCTAATAAAGTAAAGCACGAAATAAAGTTTTAGAACATTTTCAGACCTTTGTTTAAATGTTCTCAAAAAATGAAGCTGCACTGACTCGATTCAAGTCTAATATCAAACCAAATCGTTTATTGGTTAGCAATACGCTATTGGATATATGTTATTATAATGTTTGCGTTGCCGCATTGATTTATTTTTAAATCGTCTCAGGATTTCATGCCGCTCGACGCAGCACCACAATAATAAAAAAAAAACTCGATAAAGACGGAAAACAGTTTAAAATGCTGGTTCATGTATTTATTTATTTCGGTTCAAAAATAATATCTATTTTACATTTATATATTTTGGGATGAAAATATAAAATTGTTCACTACACATCTGTAACACTGGTGTGTTTGGCGAGCATGGAAGTTTTCTGTGAATTTCTGTTTGTTTAAAGATTCACTTGCAAAATGAAAAATGATTAAATAAATAATCCTAAAAGCTATTTTAATTTAAATTCACGCGCATCAAAAAGCACAACCAATGCTCGTGCGGCCTGTAAAAACTTCTCCCCGTTTTAGTCATAATCGGTCTTGTTAGATTTCCATAAGCAGCGTTGATCCTGGAGGATTAGAATTGTGTAGCTGACAACGGAACATATTTGACACTTTGGCTGATTCCAGGAGATATTGTCTTTCCACAAAAACCGGTGATGGCGTGTAATAGCTCCTGTGACCCGGTGTGTGAGCTGCCATCAGTAAGGTGGAATAAAACACAAAGGAACTAAAGGTAAATAAAGTCTTACAGCCTCGCGAGCCCGTTCGTCTTTACAGAGGACATTTTGAATTTATTAAGCGCCTGCTTAAATTTTTGCTAAAGAAACTATGCAGATGTAAATAGCTAGAAGACACGTGCACGTTCATTAATATATATATTTGTGTGTGTGTGTGTGTGTGTGTGTGTGTGTGTGTGTGTGTGTGTGTGTGTGTGTGTGTGTGTGTGTGTGAGCCATATTATTTGTGACGTGGACTTCAGTATTTCAAAGCCTACAAGTAAAGACATTTATTAATATTTTAAAAAGTCAATCGTACACCAGTCACTACAGCAGAAGATTATTCAAACCATAGTCTTTGTGCGGCATCTTGTTGATGAATTTAACTTTGTTCAGTGTGAACTGAAGCTTTCTGTTCCAACTGGCATTATTTGTTTTTGTCGTTTAAAAAGAAAAAGAGAAAAAGCAGTAAACGCGTGCTGTTCTATGCACACCATGATCTGGGCGGCCGAATATTCTAAAACATTAATAAAAAAAAAAAAAAGGAAATCTTATTGTCGAATATTTAGATGACAGATTATTGTGTAAAAAACACCTAAACGTACGTGTGTTCGCAATGATGTCAGACAGGGGCTCGGGCTGCTGTAGTCATCCGTGTAGGCAGTAATCAGGAGTGTGTAAACGCGCTGATGCTCTGAAGACACCACCACACAGACACGTGCCACATAACGTTATTCTGTAAATTAAATAAAGAAATAATAATAATAATAATAATAATAATAATAATAATAATAATAATAATAATAATAATAATAATAATAATAATATTAATAATTACTATTATTAGTAGTAGTAGTATCTGTCATGTATCCATAGCTTGCAGGCTGGATTACTTAGAACTCCAGCTTTGTTAGCGCGCTGTTGTTTTGCGCACGCTGCATATTTATGTTTCCGCTCTCTTCTTTCGCCCCTACTGCAGGCCCAAGGACACGGAAACTGAAAAAGTCAAAAAGCGGCAAAGAGGACAAACGGCCACGCACGGCCTTCACGGCCGAGCAGCTGCAGAGACTGAAGACAGAGTTCCAAGTGAATCGCTACATCACGGAGCAGCGGCGCCAGTCTCTGGCCCAGGAGCTCAACCTCAACGAGTCCCAGATCAAAATATGGTTTCAGAACAAAAGGGCCAAGATCAAAAAGGCCAGTGGCTTCAAGAACGGGCTGGCCCTTCAGCTGATGGCGCAGGGACTTTACAACCATTCCACCACCACCATCCAGGAGGACAAGGAGGACAGCGACTGATGAACACGACTTCCTTCTTACACTCACGCTGTACATTGTAAATAATAATATCTAATTTAACGTGGAGGATGGGGGACCGAGCTAGTGTCCTCTTCCTCGTCTCCTCCTCTTCAGAAGTGACTCTAGAGCAGAAGATTCGAGCAGACTGACCTGCCACCGCCAAACCAAAGATTTTATTGAGAAATAGACACTTTCAGAAACGTTAATAAGCAGCAGCACCCTTGATGTTAGACTGAAGTGTACCCTCACCCATCCATTCCTCCTCACAGCCATAACAGGCGCACACCAGCTGATGTTCTGGGGCATTTTTACTTTACTAATGGTAGTTGCTTTCGTTCTGGAACGCGCTGCTGACCACTTCCAACAGCCATACGAGTACTTTACTAATCCTGCGGTCAGTTTGAATACGGTTCAACACACAGTTTGAGTACCAAATGTGAACAACGTGGTTCTGTCATTTCAAAAGACACAAGAAATCCCTTTGAATTTGTTAGGAACGTCTCATGCAATCTGTTACAGTGAAAACACATGTGGGATCTGATCTAAATAGAGGATTCTGTATGATGCCCTTTGAGAAACCACACGGAAAATATAAAAAAAACAGTATTATAAATAATAAGTTAAAATTTTAATTGCTGAGAGAAAGCCTCTATAAAAGCCCATCGTGAATATTTTGTGAATATTTTATTGCTACAGCAGCACATAAAACGTGTTGTGGTCCTTTTTCACTTTCAGACATACACGCTAAAACTGAAACAACAACGCCTTCACACAAACACAACATCTGCAGCTTAGCCACACTCTCTGTTTTTGTGCCACTTCTTTTATCTAATCGGCCGATCAATAAAAAGAAATAAACAAACGAACAAAGAAATTTAAATCAAATCAAATCAAATGAACGTGTGAGCTGTACTGCATTTTCATAACGTCACCGTGTGTGTGTGCACCTGCAGCGGTTTCTTAGTCGAAATTGTGTAATTGTGTTTTCTGAGATTAATGTCTCTTAAACGGACCCAAGGATTACTACAGCGCTTCTGTGCGTCATTTCCTCTGGTGCAAAGTGGCCTGAGACACTCGGCAAACAGCATCGCACTATTTGAAATACATCTTGAAATACATTATGTACAATTTCAAATAAACACTTTTATATTGGAACTGACCCAGTTGTGTGTGTGTGTGTGTGTGTGTGTGTGTGTGTGTGTGTGTGCGTGTGTGTAACTGAATATTCAATTAATAAAATAAAATGGAGGTGAGGCTGTCTGCGGAGAAGCTGGGGGTAAGGGGACGTCGCAGCTCATTGGTTCAAGTGAGTGGGGACAACTGAATCCATATTCATAGGTCTTTGGAAAGGAGGTGAATTTACACTGCAAGACGCATCACGCCGTTCAAAGCGTTACAGAGCATGAAATTGCCTCTCCGTCTTTCTGTGATCACCCATTTCATCAGCCGGCTCTCTGCACAGCCTTAAACAAAAATACCAAGGTGCTGAAGGTAAACGCAGTGTGAGTCCGCCTGTGTGTGTGTGTCTCCGAGAGACAACCAGCAAATCGACGGGTCAAGGCACGGCCTACAAGCAACACTAAAATAACACAGAAAGGCACAAATCAAGCAGGTGAGAGAGGGAGGGCGTATCTGATTTTTTTTCATGCAAATGGTTAAAAATTATAAAAGAAAATGAATATTTCAATTCATATTCATATTCATTCCCTACATTTAATTAGTTGGTGCGTTTCTTTATCATTTGAGCAGCCTGATCGGGTTTTACTAAATACAATCCATGTAAAACCAAAAACACTCGAATAATCTTTGGTTTGGTTTGTTTTTAGATAAATTTTTTCTTGTATTATTTTTGGAGTTTATTTAAAAATCACGAAATAAAGAAACTGTAAAGTTTTCTCGTTTTTATACAAGCTACATTTACAGACTATCGCTCCAGATGATTTCTTTCACAAGATAAAAAGTGTGTTTGTTTAAAAGAAATAAATGTAACCTTCGGCCGGCATAATCTCTTTCTTCACTCTCCATCCAGCTATTGTTTTCATCCAAAGAAATGTGTTCTTATCGCCATTCTATCAGCTAAGTAGAACAGATAAATGACCTCCGGTTAATCTGACAAGTAAAATGAACCATAATCCCTTTTTGTTTGGAGGAAGGGGGCTTTGTTAGACCTTACAGAAATATATAAACATAAACACCTTAGATCTGCGTTATCAGCTACTGATAGAAGTCCACTGTGTAATTAGTTTGGACTAAATTAAACAGAATGAGTATCTTGGAGAGGAAACCAGTTATTTCCTGTAGCCTGGAGGTCATCTGTCATCTGGAGCTTCATAGTTAACCTATGGTTACCTCTTGCAGAGCCTGTCCAATGAAAGCACTCCTTACTCCTTATAAAAGAAAAAAAAGAAAGAAAGCAGAGGGTAACAGCAGGCTGAGATCAATTTGTCAAAATCAAACGTAGATGTTGTGACAAGTTGTATGGCCCTCTGCCTGTACCTGTTTTCTTCCACTCTTCTGCTGATGCTGCTGCCAGCCTCAGAGGAAGAGGAGGGGATTTGTTATGATTCTTATACAGGCCTTTGGAATATCTATACCTATGTGTGTGTGTGTGTGCGTGTGTGTGTGTGTGTGTGTGTGTGTGTGTGTGTGTGTGTGTGTGTGTGTGTGTGTGTGAGGGAGACTGGTAAAGATGCAGTGACTGAAGAGTGCAACCAAACAGCTGGTCCTGCGGCTACAGGAACAGCTTTCATTTACATGCAAATGAAGGTAATAAAGAAAGACTCCCTGCTGATATAGAACTTTATGAATGTATATTATTAGTACTGTTTTGTTACTATCATCATCATCATCATCATCATCATCATCATCATCATCATCATTATTATTATTGTTGTTGTTAATAATAATAATAATAATAATAATAATAATAATAATAATAATAATAATAATAATAATAATAATAATAATAACTTTTCTTGAATAGAACAGTAGGAATCTTTGATAATCTGCTCTGTGAGCAGCAAAAAAAAATGGAAAGTCTTCATTTCTTAGAACAAAAAGTGCACACAGCAAACCCAAAACTTCAAAAAAATGGAAAATTCCAAATCAGCAGATTGATGTAAACACCTGCTATGATCCAGTGGTAATTAAAGAACTGAATTACATTTCAAGTCATAAAATGATCAAATTTAAAACCTTCTTAGTAAACAAAAAACTTTCTTGAAGAAGTGACTGAAGAAAAGAAAAGGTGTTAACATGTGATACATGTTACATGCACAAGTGATACATGACATTTGAACACATGTGGATTACCATGGTGTCTAATTTATTTGAATTTACAGGAATGCAATTCATGGCCATTATTTCTGGTGCTGATATTCAAAATCATCACATTAAAATTTGGGGAAAACCCCCCACACTGTTATACCAACACACATGCAAAGGCTTTATGTATGTGTCTCAACACAAACATACACAGTGGTGTGCAGAGTTCAAGTCTGCACACCACTTGTTTTATCATGGGTGAGTAACAAAAGTGGCATTGAGTTGTACAGGCCTCCCACACTGTTACTGAACACTCTGTGTGTGTGTGTGTGTGCGTGCGTGGGTGCGTGTGTGTGTGTGATGTGCGTGTGTGTGTGTGTGTGTGTGCGTGCGTGGTGTGTGTGTGTGTGTGTGTGTGTGTGTGTGTGTGTGTGTGTGTGTGTGTGTGTGTGTGTGTGTGTGTGAGTGCGTGTGTGTGTGTGTGTGTGTGTGTGTGTGTGTGTGTGTGTGTGTGTGCTAAGATCCATAACTCATACATGGATTAACTGTTGGATGTTAGATGTATGTGTGCATGTGTGTGCCCATCTGCCAGGAAGAATTTTTTCGATAAGGATTACTCAGTCATTAAATGTCACATGTTGACTGCTCACCTCTGATACTCGAGATTGTTTCACACAGACAGGGGCGAGTGAAATGTTGGGTTATATTCTGTGATAAGATAGAACATTTACCAGCAATAAGCCGATATATTCAACAAAGAAGGAGTAGAACAGATAATCTGTAAACCAACACAACAATATCTAAATTTATTTATGTTATGATTATTATTTTAGGAAGGTTACAGTTAATTTTGCACATTGTGTTTAAAAAACAACCAAACACCTAAACACACTTTCTTAAAATGGCAAAACACAGAGTACAAGAAGAAAGCTGTGTGTGCCCCCCCGTCACTACCTCTGTGCAGTGTTATTTTAAACGGCCTATGGCAAAAAGCAACTCATTAAATGATTTGGTAACAGGAACAGAAAACAATGATATAAAGTTATTTGAAACAAACTGATAAACAATGAGATATGACGAAAGATGCTTTTCTTATATTTCACACAATTCCTCTGTGTACTCTGGTGTATTCTGGTCGTCTGGAAATTAATGAAGCTGGAATGAAAAGGTGTCTTTGTTGCATACATGGACACAAACTGTACTTTGGCAGTAAGAATTTGAAACCAGTAGAACTGAAATCCACATATTTATTTCCCACAGATCCGTGACAGGCCTTAGACTTAACCAGAAATGGTGGTTTGTTACAGTGGCATGTTTGTTAACCAGCTCATCATCTTTCTCTAAACATGGTGTTGATGCCTAACACTAACCAAAGAGCAAAGACAACAAAACCAAAAGAAAGACGTTTAAACATGTTGTCATCGTGTAACTGAATTATCAGCACAACTTCACTTGTGTCTTTTGTATGATTGTGCTGTGTTTCTTTGTGTGTGTGTTAGGGTTGGACTCTCATCACACCTGTGAAGTTTGGTAGAGACTGAGTATTGTGTCTTTGAGTTACAACAGTTTTGTGCTTCACGGTGATTGATCAAAACTCGGAGTGTTGCTATGCCATTTAGTTTTCATGAAAACTCTTTAGGATCCATTAAGTGAAGATCGTGTTGAGCTCATGAAATCCCTCAGTGTTTGTTAAGGTATGAGGCCTGAAATTAGCAGAAAATGTGGCCAAAATTACACATTAAATTCAAAATGGCAGACTTCCTGTTGGGTTGAGGATGAGACTTTTATTGTATATCTTGATATCTGACATTAGGATGCCAAGTTTCAAACGCATAGATGAAAAAGTGCAGGGACTCCTTTAAAATTTCATAGGTGGCATTGTGGAGCCATTTTGCAATATTCAATGAAAAGGGCTGGAAAACAGGAAAGCCTTCATCACATTTGAGAGTCTGCCAGGTTTGACGACTTTTCAAGCTTTCCAAGCTCTGTGAAAACTACTTCCTGATGATGGCGAATCGCTATTCTACATGGGTGCGCCGTTAAATGAAAGCTCACATTTTCACACTGAAGCATCATCAATTTCTGATGTTTATTCAGACAGCTTTTGAGGTGTATGGGGTCAACCTGGGAGGAGCAGTACATCGAAGTATAAAACATCACATTTCCTTACAACTAGGTGGCGCTGTAGCTTTTGCTTACAATGAAAATAAGCTGTTCAGAGTCGGACTCTCGTCATGCCTTTAAAGTTTGGGAGAAACTGGACAAGGTGTTATAGAGTTATAGCAATTTCGTGCCTCATGGCAAAACATAAAAATTCGCAATGTTGCCAAGGTTACACGCTTAGATGAAAACTCAGTTTTCCTTGTAGTGTAAGACCAACTCGAAATTTGAGGTTGCTGAGGTCAGCTGCCTTGAAACTGTACCCCCAAAGTGTAAAACATTACATTTCCTGTTCCCACTAGGTGGCGCTGTGAACACTGTACAATATTGCAGTTAATATGTATTTGGGGGCGGAGCCTGATGACATGTGAGACCTTTGGTTCAGACTGGACAAAATATGTCAGCCAATTAAAATTTCACAGCAAATGATCAAAATTCCCCCACAAACAAACTCTTCAACGAAAACTCAAAAGCTCAGCAGTTTAATGTTGCCCACATCAAAATATGAATCTGATAAATGATCCATTAACATCCTGAGGAGTTCAAAAAGTATTCACTGGACCCGATGCATGTGCAAAATTCAATACTTCATTAGTGTTTGAGCATGCTGAGGCCCTCAAAAAGGAGATTGAAGATGATATTAAACAGATCGCTTGTAATAGGGCCTTCACACTTTTAGTGCTCGGGCCCTAAAAGCTTAAAACCTTTAAGCTACCAGCCAGCCATCAA